CACATGAACTGCATGTCACACCGACATGTTATATCCATGTACATTGGCACAGGCTGGAGCTGGCCTCTGGGAGAAGTTAGTAGACATGTGTTTTTAAGCACCATTACATTGCAAAATGGTGATGCAATCGCTGCTTTCATCTGGTGGGAGAGTCACAGGCAGCTGCTTCCCTCTGTCTGTCTTCGCTGGTGGGGCTGAGATTTTCTCAAGTAATGTGAAATTTTGCAACGGGTTCAGTAAATGGAGAGGTGGGTTCCTGCACAAGAAAAGGTGCTTCTTATTAAAAAAAAACCAAAACCTTAAATTACCAAAAGGAGGAAAATTAGCTTCAGGAAGATGAAATTGAAATAAACACTCTTCTTTTGGGTCAAACTACGTATCGGGTGTTATAGTTGTGTGATGTAAGAGCCAGATCTCATGCTGACTTAAGGGACTTTGCAGGCAGCTCCAAAGCCCAGAGTTGGTCTTCCCCAGTCATTAATAAGAGACAAAGCCAAGAAAAGATTTGTTTTTATAAAATAAAGAATAACTCATCTTTTCAGCAGGTGTTTGGAGTATTTGTTTTGTGGTAGGGATGTGCCAATTTGTCAAGACCTTAATTTTTGGAAAGAACGTATCTGTGTTGAGACAACTGCCATTGGCAAAAGCTAATTCCACCTACTGATGGAATTTTGGGTCAAAGTAAGAAAAAGAGACAAAAAAGAGAGAAGACACATCCCCAGCAACCTTATCAGCTAGGAACAGGACAGAGCCATATTCAAGCTTCTGTGCCAATAAAAAATTAATTATTCATACAGGTTCTGATGGAGAACAGAGGAAGACCAACCACCGGGTGACCAAGAGCCTCCTCACCACCAGCAAGGTGGGAAGGTGGCTGGGCCAGCAGGTTGCGGGGAGATGCCCGGCTTTTCCAGGAGCTCCCTTAGCTGGCGGCGTTTGGGGATGCAGGGAGAGGGGACGGGGTGGATGGTTCGGTCAGTTTGGTTTCATCCCAAGAAAATGCAGCATCTTCTGCAGGGTGTGAAAACCTGAGTGACCTGACTCTTATCACAGGGCACTGTCCAGTCTTTTGGTTCGAGATCAGATTTTGGCCCAAAGAAAATCAGAAATCAATACAAAAAATGTTCCAATTGGGTCAATAATCTGCATTTTTAGTTTTTTATTATTAGAAATATTTATATTACAGTAGCTTGGTATTTTAGAAGGCTATAAATGCATTTTTATATAATCAGCATTTTTAAAAGTCTATAAACATCCACTATGTTTGCCTAATGTACTATAAAAGCTTCCAAAGGAGCTGTTATTATCCAACTTGTCACCTCACACATGCTCCGAGGAGGAATTTTTTTTTCTTGTCTGCTGTTAATAAAATGAAGCAAACCATTAGCAGCTTTGGAGCTGCAAGGAGAAGTAAAGGGGCTTGTAATCTCGGACTCCAAAGGAAACGTCTGCAGCTTTGCTCCTCGCCTCTTTGAGATTCCCAACACGCAACAACAATTTCAAACAGACAAAATCAGTTTAGGTTACATAAATTCAAAAGCCCAAGCCTGCTTCTTTTAAAGCAACATCTTGCATTTTGTTTGGAGTGTTGCAATCTCTCGCATAACATTTTGAACTGGTTCAGTTTTACAGTCTGCCGTGCATCTTCCTCAGGTTTCTTTGGTTAAAGGAGCTTTAATGCAGAATTATTACATGCACACATACATACATTATTATTACATACACACATATGTATGTATATACGTATATATTTATGGGTGTATGCAAACATATATATATATATATATATATATATAAAGTCTAGGAGGCTATGTGGTTGCACATACAGGACCCATCTCCCCTGGCACTCTCCGCATGCCAGACTCCCGGAGTTATCGGCACATGGAGCAAGCTCCAGACCAAGTCCTGATAAAAAGGTGCCATGCGTTTTGGAGAGGAAGGCAGATATTTTAGTCCCTGTGAGCTCAAGGGTGAGTGTGGTGTAAATCAATTAGTGAAGGGAAGAAATCTGTGTGCAAAAAGCAGGTTTGGGTTTTAAACAATCTCTTAGTTCACATTTCAGAGATTTGCTTTTGGTTCATCTCTGTTTATAGTTTGCTCCTGTTCCCAACATATCTCGGTGTTGGGATGGATTCTCAACCCCGGGGAACCTGTCAGGGATGTGATAACAACTCACTCAATCCAAAGAAGGGCACGATTGCGCCTGCGATAGCAAGTGGCTCTTAACAGCTCCCCTGCCGCCAGTGCAGGGTCCCTCTGGGGCACGGGGAGCCACTCCTCCCGGGGACTTTGTGATTTCGGATGGGGCTGAAAATAGCATGAGAACCTGTCGCTTTTGGCACTTGGCTTCTCAAAAACCCCAGGATACTCCCAAGATTCTAACAGGCAATGAACTCCCCATGTGCTGGCTGTGCTGGTATTTTGGGCAAAGGCCTTCCTGGATGAATTTGGGGTGGCCCTGGGGTGAGCCAGGGTGGAGAAGGGCTTCCATGGCTTCAGTTATTGAAAGCTCATGGGCTGGGAAAGCATTGAAAGTCCCAGCTGATGCCCGAGGGGGAGCAGCTCGGACATCCCTGTGATGATGGAAAAGAGAAGGAGAAAAAACGAATGGATGCAGCTTACACCACTGCAGGAAATTCCCAGCTGCTCTGCAGGGAAATGAGCTGAAGGTGCGAAGGGGACATTGGCGGTCACAAGGACCATGTCGGGGCAGAGGAGTGGGGAGGGGGGAGAAGCACTCCTACAGGCTTTCTCCCCACTGCCAGTCCCATGGGGGGTGGCAGGTTTGGACCCTGGGGTCAGATAGAGCTGCCTGAGGGCTGCTCTATGTTGTGGCCACCACAGAGATGGCTCTGGCACCTCAGGGACCCCAGACTTCATAGTTTTGCTGCTACACACTCTGTCCTGGGCGATCCGAATGGTGACAGTGTGGAACAGCCTGTCCTTGGGACCGGGGGGGGCAGAGGGAAAGCCAAGTTCCCAGCATGGGTTCAGGAGAGCCATTGGCTGAGACAAAGAGCCAAAGCAGCCCAGGACAGAGAGCAGACACATCAGCCGTAGCGGCTATTTCTGGCATCGTCCTCGGAGCTGGGAAGTTCAGACATCAGGGCATGGGGAAACACTGCCGGGACCTCCTGGGAGCCCTTCCCACCTCGTGGCACTATGGGGTGGTTCCTGCAGGCATTTCCCATCCTTAGATGACTTGCTATCAGCTCCCAACAAGTACAACAACCTCAGACAAGTGTTGCCTGACAGTCTCACACGGATGTCCTAAGTGGAGGTATCCGTTGGGATCGGTGCTGCCGGGCCCCTGTGCAGCAGTGCACAGACCCTGCGAGCAGGCATCTCCGTCACACGTTGCTCCACGTTCATTGATTGCTGATGGGAGCAGAGGGTGTTGGGCACCTGATTGGGGTTCATGCAAACTTCCCACCCCGGCTCCACATCCAGCAACCACCACCCAAGCATGCGTTGGCAGATACGAGTCCCTCCAGCCCCGATCCCCCAGAGCCTGCCCACAGCGGTGGTCTGTCAGCAGCATGAGGTGCCGTTGGGGTGTGAGGAGGTGTCGTGGTCCTTCTGGGTGAGCCTCGACGAAGCAGCATGGTGTAGAGACCTGGTGTGGGCAGGGCAGGGGGGGGCGCTGGATTCAGGAGGTGCTCCAGCATGGGGGTCTTCTACAAGCAGGACACATTGGCTGAATGCAGCCAGTGCCACATCTGTCATCATTTATCCGCTTTCCCAAGGTGACCTCCCCAGGGCTCTGCTGTCCTGGACATCTTTACTTTGAAGCTGAGTCTAACTCGAGTTTCTAAAGACATTCACCTGCTTCTCTGGGTGCAAGCCAACGGCAGTGCCTGTGTTGCCAAAATCCCCCCTCCTTGGTGTACTTCTGCGTGAAGCTTTGGAGGCTGGAAAGCTCCCGTGACCTCAAGGCGCAGGAGACACCGCTGTGCTGATGACTCCCATTAACCCACCGTGGTGGTGGGGTTTCCCTGGCTGGTGATGGGGCTCCCCAGTGCTCCCCATGTAGGGCAGAAGGTCCAACACCTTCCAAGTCTTCAGCACCTTTGGAGACACAGGAGGACGGACGTGGCCAGACAACAAGGTGCCCAGGACCTCATGGTGAAGGACTTGGCCCCAGCATGAGGTCTTTGAATCCTGGTTCTTCCCTCTATAAGGTGAAAATCAGGATCCCTTGAGCTTCTTCCCCACCTTCTCGCCTGGATACCGTTCTACCATGGAGGAAGAAATACAGATGAAAAAGAGAAGGAGAGGAAAAGAATAAATACAGGAGGGAGCCAAAGGTCTTCCAGCACGGACAAGGTCTCCGCTCTGCATCTCCCAACGCCAGCGCTTACCAAACATAGCCAGGGCCCCATGAAACCTCGGGCCAGCGGAGAGTAGTAAGATGAGCTCCCTCTTTATTTGGCCTAGCTAAAAATAGCGGAGGGGAAAAAAAAGGCAGAGTCAGGACCCTGCAGGACCAGTAGTCAATGGGCTGCGAGGAGCGATTGAACTCCAAATACTGCTCAGCATCCTCCAGCTGACAGGCTATTTTTTGCCGTGGTTGACTAAATATGGTCAGGGAGGGAAGAGCACGAGAAGGGGCCACTCGCCCGGGAGTGCGTGTTTCGGATGCTTCGCTAGGTATATAAGCACTGGAAAGGTGGACTCGCTTTCTGACCAGCGCTCCCCCCCTCCCCTC